TGGCACGGGCGGGGGAGGAAGGGCGGAAAGTGGAGGGGGTGCCCGCCCCAGAGCGGCTGCTTGGACTGATGGTGTCTGCAGGGGACGTGGGCGCTGCCCGACGCACCCTCCCCGGCTGTTTCTAGGCATCTTCCCTGTGTGCAGCCCCTTCCCAACCCCAAGTCAGACCCGCGATGGACACCCGGTGCCATCGGTCTGGGGGGACCCGCCCCCCTCCCAGCAAACCCGCCCTCGTCCCTCCCACCTGTTGAGTCAGCAAAGCCGACAGGCGCTCACTTCGTTTCTGTACCAAGAACGTGACTGCGCCTTAGACACCCCGGCCTCCTGACACGGAACTGCCTCTGTGGGCGCAGCTTCTATTAAACCACACAGTCAGCCTGAGGATGACGCCCTGCCTGGCCGGGTCCCTCCCAGGACAGACGGCACCGACACAGCTCAGCCTCGGATGAGTCTCATCACAGCCCACGGGCCTGGTACCCGGGACACAGCCCAGAGCCCAGGGCGGCCGCCGTGGCTGCCAAGCGCTGTGAGGCCCGGCCTGGGGGAGCAGGGGGGTGGCCCGTCTTCCTAGGCCACAGAAACACCCGACGGAGGAGTCGCTCGCAGGAAACAATGGACCCCCAGGAGGAGGCCAGTGGGAGGGGCCGCCTGGGGGGGAGGGGGGCTGCTTCACAGGGACCTCGGTGCCCCAGGAACCTGCAAACAGCACCTCCCAGTAAACATGCCCCCCAATAAGCGTGCCCCCCAATAAACGTGCCCATTCCTCTTCCTGGGCAGACAGGTGGGTCCTCCAGCCAATGAGGGAAAATAGACAGCAAAACAGCAACAAGCAAAACCGCAAGCAGCACACGGATGGACGGGTGGACGGACGGACGCGGGCAGGAGGGGCAGCGCAGACAGCGCACAGGGTGGCTCCTCCGGGCACCTCTCTGCGTGGTAAGTTGTGTGAAGTGCTTTGTGTGTGTGTTGAAAGCTGTTATCTCATGTGGTTTCTGACATTCCTTACAGCAGTTTCGGGTCAGCGCTGACCAAGGGGCCCGGGCTTCGTCTGGGCCCAGGCCTGGCCCGAGGAAGGCGCTGCTGGGAGGGAGACCCGGCCAGGCAGGGCGTCCGGCTGGATGAGGAGGCG